AAAAAAAAAAAAACAGTGAATGCTAGACAAAATTTTAGAACTAAAAACGGGGACACTATAATCCAAAAGAATTGTGGAACTTCCCCAATTCAGAGAGATTTCGTGTTGGCCACTAGAGTCTGGATCCCAGGGTGAGCCAGATGGAACAGGCCTTGCCATAGCTCTGTCTTGTCTTTCTTGGTACTGGGACATGACCTCACAGTCATATGAATTCTCTAGCAATGACCTATAATCCCTTAAAACAATATTTGCTGCCTTCCAGGATTTGCTAAAAATGATGGCTACATCACTTGCTTATGGAAATACTGTCCCTAATGTCTTTTTTGAACAAGAAATAAGTTTTTCCCCTCAAAAACAGAGCAAGCACAAAACACTAAATCTTCTTTCAGTACTGGGGATTGAACCCAGGGCCTCATGCTTACTAGGCAAGTGCTCTGCCGCTTGAGCCATACTCCCAGTCCTAATATTAAATGCCAAAGTACTTGAATAAAGAGCTTCTTTGTATTTAAAAAAATCCTGCATACTGATGACTCTTTTGTAATTGGAAAAGAATTATCTATCTCAAAGCATATTATTTACCATTTTCAATCTAGTAGGCCCGGTTAATGATATTTCTTTGTTATCTTTGCTTAAAAACTGCAATATGTGGTATTTCACTAACATAACGTACAGTCAGCCCTCCGAATCTGTGGGCTCCACATCTATGGATTCAGGCAGCCTCAGATAAAAATATTTGGGAAAAAATTGCATCTGTACTGAATATATGTAGAACTTTTTACGTTGCCATTATTCTCTAAACAATACAACAACTATTCACATACCATTTACTTAGTATTAAATTTTATAAGAAATCTAGAGATGATTTAAAGTATACAGGAGGATTTAGGTTATATGGAAATACTACATCACTTTTTATAAGCAGCTTGAGCATTTGCAGATTTTGGTATACATGTTGGATTATGGAAAGAGTTCCCCGTGAATACTGAGAGATGACTATAAATAGAAAAAAAGGCATAAGGATATGCACCAAGATGTAAATAGTGGCTATCTTTCTAGGCCATTTTTTCTTTAAATTCTAGATTTTTTACAAATGATCTTGTTTTAGTTGTATGATATCTAAATAGTTACTAAAATCAGTATATATAAAGTTATGAATACATGACACATTCATTTAAGAATACATAAAAAATTTATGGCAGTGGATACAATACCTAACTGTTGAAAATCTGGGTAATATTATTTGTTTTCCCAAGTACACAATTTTATGATTTAAAAAGACTAATCTCATTAAAAGAAAAATGTCAGAAAAAATAACTTAAGTCATTCAATGTTGATTTATGCATTTTAGAAGGAGAAAAGTAAATAATGAGAGAAAGAATGCCACCCAAGCCATTAGGGTAAGGAAAATTTCCTTTAAAGCACAGTTTCTATTCTCTTCTACTTATATCTCCCTTTCTTTAGTCATAAAAATATATACATTATTAAATTTGAAGCTTTTAAAATAGACTCTGAAAGATCACACTTAATTTATGTTTTAAATTTCATTCTCCATGACCTCACTAAAATAAGTTGCTAAAATGCTCATACTCCTCCAGTGGGACCAGACGTGTCAATTAAATACTTTAAATAGATTTGATTGCAGGTTTTGAAAGACTTCTTTGTTCCACGATATTTAAAGATGCTGATGTTAAATGTTTTCATGTTTATTTTCCTGCTCTCTCCTCATTCTATCTTGGACTTATGAGACTATGTACCTTTTTGTCTTACAATTCCTCTATATCTGAGAAGGACTTGATGAATTCATAACAATTAGTATAAACCAACAAACTTTCATAGGCATTTACCATACTCCATCTTTAACCATTTGTACTTCAAAAGCAACATGATAAATGATAGTTTCATTGCAATTAAAATTACTACAGGTATCTTCAGATCACTCAGTGGCAGCAGAGATCACATGCCAAAAAAGCAGAAACTACAGGCAATAGCAGGCAATGCCAAAAAAGCAGAAACTACAGGCAATAGCAAATGAGAAAGACCTGAAATCTGCACGGTATAATGGTGGTTCTCCCTTAACCCTTAACATTTTCTTCCTCTGGTTATATCCCATCAAATTCTCCTCTGGGCCTTTTTCTTACGCATCTAAGTGAAATACAGGAAAGTAATAAAGAAAGAAGAAAAACTATGAAGAAGCCCCTAAACATAGAAAGCAGATTTCAAATTGACTTTGTCTTAAAGGCCTTACCAATACATTTGTATATTTTTGGGAATAATTATAATTTTTTGTGGTGCATACTAGCTTGGAAATGGATTGTCAACCCCTCCCCCCAAAAAAAGTTTCTGAGTTTTTTGTTTTGTTTGTGTTTGAAATAGGGTCTCACTATATGGCCCAGGTTGGCCTTGAACTTGGGATCATCCTGCCTCAGTCTCCTCAGTAGCTGGAATTATAGACATGTGACACGACACCTGGCTCAAACTTTTAAAATCTCACTTTTTATTCAGTAGAATAGTAGAAGAAAAATTTGGAAGAAAGAATCAGGAGTGAATTTTATTAAAGTACATTATATGTACATTATGAATATGAATACATTCTAATAAATTTTTAAATAAATAATTCGTTTCAGGAAAGCTATTTCTAGTAATTTTGAGAAGAAATGACAACTGACCATGGATGGTGAGTAGGACAGATAACAAGTCCAGATTGCACATGGTTTTATAATCCTGAACATAAAGTCTAACTAAAATAATAACTAATGTAGGACAGTTTCCTTGAACTATCTCTCACCAATGGCTTATTCATACATAATAACTAATTAGAGACACTTTGGGAAGAGATCATTCTGGAAACACATCTTAGCTATCAAATGTCCACTTCCCATCTTGTCTACCCTGGCAAATAGGCGTGGGCAGAATCTGATGAGTGTGGACCACTAAAACTCTTCAGGTTTTGAGTGCTGTTTGATTCATGAATCATTCTTTGTTCAAACAAACTCCGTTGAATTTGTTTTGTCTAAAGCAATAATTTATACCCTAAGAGCAGGGCAGACTCTCTCCTCTTTTTATTTCTGCTTGAAACAGAGAAGAACAGACTGATAACACCCAGGCTCTAGCACAAGGGCAGGAGTTATAAATGTGAATTTCCCAGGGAAGTTACAAAACAATGTCAGAATTGTTTGAATTGCTAATAGAACAAAATTCCATCTTCCTTCTTTTGAGATAAACACTCACCCATCCAGTTTCAAAATCAAAATACCGTCTGCCTCTGTGGACACAGAAACCTTCAGTTCTGCCTTGATGGTGTTTGCAATAGGGCTTCTTCACAGTGCTTTCCAAGCCTTTTTATCGGTATGAGAATGAAGGGCTTATTTTCCAGATATCATAAAAAAAACAACTCTGCACTAGTAGTTGTGCCTGAATCAATAATGCTTATACATTCAAGTTAAAATTAACCAGAAAACTGGTTTATTATTCACTCAACTACATAAGAAAAGATTTCCTTTTCTTTGTGCAAATAATTTAATATTAATTAATATTAACAGAGAATAACATCCAAAAACATATTTCCTAGTCTGGAGAATAAAGAAATCTAAAGTTTCAAACAGGAAATGCTTGCTATTTGTCTAAATAATTAGTTTGATAGCCAACTTACCTGATAGTACAGTTAAAGAGTAGAGTCAATAAAGGGACTAAGTGACGTCAGATAGATTTTCTTGATAGAAAAAGAAGAAAATGTGGGGGGTTTGTAAGTAAATATATTTCTTTAATAATTTTTAAAAAGAAACAGGATGAAATCTTATTTTTATTTTTTAATTTTTTAAAAAGCATTTTCTTTCCATGGGAACAAAAATTCAACACAAATTTCTATGAGAAGAAACAGTCTATACTATGCACAATTCAATATGCACCAATAAAAAATTAAAAAGAAAATGTCTAAATTACATTTGCACGGGCACCAGTAATGGAAACAACAGAAAAGTGATGAGTAAACAGCACAGAACACATAGCAGGTTCTAGCCACCACCGCCTCCATTGAATGTTTGGGAACTGCAGAAAACAAGCAAGAAGAGGACCTAAATTTCTAAAAACACCTGCTCAATACTGATAATGTAAAGACAAAAATAAAATGATCACCTTATGTTCTTTAAGTGTCCATGTCTTTCAGGATCTGGCTATCTGGCCTCAAAAGTGAGAATGACATGATGTCTACTGAATGAAGGTGAATAGATCTACTGAGCTCTACTGAGTATCTTCCAAGATACCAGAACACAAGGTTGAAGTCTTTCCCTAGTAGTTCTTTGTATAAACAAAGCAATGAATCACATTCATGAATCTAGATTCTTCCCCCAAAGAAACAGGCATGGATTAGGGAATGTGAACTACTGAAAAGCAGGGAAAGGGAGGCAAATCCAGCATTCTTGAAGGACAGAACTTTCACATGACCCTTCCATAGCGAAGTAGGTCAGTGCTGACACACACATAATGGTGCATCATTCAGTGAAAGGAGAAATTCACAGGTGTAAAGAAAACCCACTTCAAATGGAGAGATTTGGTTTTACTAGTATTTCCACATTATTGATGCAATGAAAATAGTTCTCTCTTCCTTTTGTCTCCAAACCTGAATGACTGGTTCATCTAGGCCATCACTGCCCTCCTCAGGGTGCACTCTCAGAAAAATACTTTCTTTCATACCACAGCATTTGGCTTCTCTTCTACATCTGCCATGTTCACAAACAAACCAACAAAAAGATAACAATTCTATACAGAAAACACTTTAAAACCTGAGTTCTACTTCTAAATTGAAACTATAATGGTTCTTTTCTGAGAATTGCTTTTTAAAATGTTATTTTTTATGATTTCTACTTACAGTATTGAATCAAATCTTAGTTAAAAATTTGCCAATATTCTCAGAAGAACTCTTTATTATATCATTATTTAATATGTTAAGACAGATTTACAATTTAAAACCAAGAGAAAATATTAACCAGTAATGTGGAAATTACCTCATCTGATCCTTTCTTTTCTCCTGGTTTGGAAGATGAGCCACTGTTTTTTTCACTGACATGCTATAAAAATATAAAAGAAAAAAACACAATAATATTTAGTACAGGAAGGTGATACAAGATAATAGTGCCTTTAATCAGAAAGGCTAAATGCATAGACTTTAAAACTAAACAGCCCTTTAATCTACATTGGTATAGGAGGTTTCCTAAATCAAGGGATCGTTAAGGCATTCATTTGGAACCCAGGAAGTCAGTCTGTAATTAACCAGATGCAGAGCTGATGGTGGCACAATGCGGCATCTTGTCTCCTACAAAATGCCTCCTGGATATTTGAATCCTAAATTGCTAGTATGAGAGACATCTGGCCCATTATCTTTGCGATAAGATCTCTTAAGGACCATGTTATATCTGAAGCTATACTTAAGCCTTAGCTCAGCATGGACACATGGGTCCACCAAAGCCTTCCAAGTCACTCATCATTTCCAACAATTCTTGGAAACTTCTCGAGTTCTTCCATTTGAAGATTCACCAGTGCAGAATGATAAAACGTGATGGGGAAAGAGTACATGAGCAGTTTCTCTTATTTATTATGGTTTTAAAATTTCATTGTGTCTAGGAGCAGAATTATTATTTTACTAGGACATAAGGAGTGAATTTAAGTATTTTTACATGGCCCATAAAAGGATCAAAAAGCTTATACACTTATTTGTTTTGGTGACAAGATAAAATAAAACAAAGTTTACTAATTTTTTTGAGAAATGAAAAATATCTGTATGTTCCTTAAAAGGTTATACAAAGAATTATTTCATTTCTTGCACGCTGTGATATGTGTAAGAGAGTGGGAAAAAGGAGCCAAATATAAGAATATAAAAGCTCACTATAGAATTTAATCATGATCATTGTTAGTGACACCAAATTATCAAGTACTGTGATGTGCCCTATAGCAGAATCACAACATAGATATGCAGAAAGACTATTTAATTATTAATAACTTAATAATTAATTATTTAAATTAAGAAAAGTGATAAGAATAGTAATATTTTACATCATTCTATATTATTTACAAGGCATTTTCATATACATTTTTATTTGATAACAATAAAGGTGGGTCATGTGGTTTTATGAATAAGAAAAGTAGCAATCTGGTATTTTTCAGAAGGACACATATGTAGTAAATTGGAAAAGGTCACAAAGCAAGTTTCTTTATTTCAAATCTGTTGTTTGCCACTTTTTCATACTAAGTAGAATTAGATAATATGCTAGTGAAAAAAAAAGAAATGGGCAAGATACCAGAACACAAGGCTGAAGTCTTTCCTTAGCAGTTCTTTGAATGAAAAACTAGCAATGAATCACTTTCATGAATGCACAATTCTTCCCTCCAAAAAGCACTCTCAAGGATTAATGAACGGAATCCACTGAGAAGGAGCCAGGCAAGTAGAACTCCCCACAGGGCTTGTTTTACCTATATGACCTAGTCAACGGTGTATTTGTCCATAGTTGAAAGCAATCAGCATTGACTAATTAATAATTCTAGAAAAAAATGCAAAAACTACCAGGTATAAACTAGGCAAGACATCCGCAGTCACAGCTGCTTCAAAGGCTGAGCTGGGATGAATCCACAAGTTTGAAACCAGCCTGGGTAACATATGGAGACTGGTTCTCAAAATATAACTAAGTAAATAAATAAACAAATAAATATCCACATATATAACAGAACTAGACAATAAGTAATAAGGCATCAGAGGAACTGTTAAGGAAAAGACTTGGGAAGACTGGGGGTTAGGAAAATCCTCTTCTCAGTTAAAGCAGGAAGCCATTAGCGTAACACTGTCTCTGTACCTGCAGTCCTTACAGAAGCCAACTGAGACAGAACTGGGAGGCAGCTCAGTTTTAAACTTTTTTTTCCAAAAAGTAATTGACTTTTTAAAAGCCTCAAACAATCACAAAGATTGTCAATTGGTTACACTAAGTAGGAAGGGCAGCACATACCCATTGAAGGCAAATGCCCAGGGGCAGCCAATCAAGGCATTTCTTTACTTCTCTGTTCAGCCTATAAAAGCTGTCTGTCCATGCCGCTCCCAAGATGCTACCCAATTCCTCAATTGTCTCATTGCTCAGATAAACTCAGTTAAATCTACTTTGTCTCAAGTTTTTCTTTAAAAATCTCTAAAAGAATCATTCAATTTTTGCAGATAGTATTTGATAAGGACAAATTACAATGACAGACATTTACTAGATCTGTCTCCTTTCAGAGCTAGTAATTTTAGAAGCATGATTTCACATTCATTATCTACAATTTCATATCTATTTCAGATTAGGTAAAGAAGGAAAAACCAACAATATCCTGTGCTTTACTGTTTCGGGTGCCTCGCTTACTTGCCAGGAGGTGTTACTATTTCGTTCTGCAAATGAGAAAACTTGTGCAATGGGAGACTCCATGCCCACTCTGCTTCCTGCTCATATGACAAATGTACTTCACAGTTTCCTCTCCCCTGTAAGTGTGCATTCGTAGCACTATCCACCTTAATATACAGGTATGCTGATTTATTTAAACATTCTCTAAAAATTGTTTCCTTTGGAGATTCAAAGAGATTCCATTTTAGTCTTCTCCATTAACCAACATCATTTCTTAGTTGCTCCTATTGAAATGCTCAAAAGCTGCATTATTTTGTAAGTCCAAATAATAGCTCGAGAGAGTTACAGGTAATTAACCCCTCTTAAAATGTTGAGATTTGGGAGATGAAAGAGAACAGTGAAGGGGGTGAATTCAAGTATGATATATTTAATACATTTTAAATATATCATTATATATATAGTACATTGTAAACACTAAGTATTTCCTTACATTAGGCATGTTTTCCCATATAAACCCAATACTATGATTACCCAAAGAGAATTAACAGGAATTCCTAATATCATCCAATTTCCAGTAAATAGCAACTTTATAAATTAACCATTGCTTTAATCATTTTTTGGCTTATTTAATATTCAACAGACTCTTAATAATGTAAAATCAGTTACAACTTTTCAAAGAGAGAGATTCAAAGTGTCCAGTGTTTTATTCAAAGAATAATTAAGCACTATTCTCATAATTAAGCTGGTGGAATGAAGTATTTCAGAATACTTGTAGCTGGCAGGGTGGGAGAGGTGAGAGAGGCATGGAGCAGGGAAACAGTGATAGATTGGAAAAGAGAACTTGGCCACACAAATAACAAATCCTGTATGAGAGAAAGGAAACCAGCATCAGTGCTAGGCATTTCCCTGTAGTCTCTTTTGCTCTGCATAGTAACTCTGGGGACTACACACTGTCACCGCATTTATGAATAAGGGAACTGAGGATCTGAAGATTGAATACACCACTCAGGATTATAGTCTGCCCAAAGATTGGGCTACTCTAGATCTGGTTCAAAGCAAGCTATGATCTTACAATTTGCATCAAGAAAGCTTTTAGCTATAGTGCTCTAAAATGAAAACAAAATAAGCAAAAAGCCCATTTAAAAAAAAAACAAGAAAAACTCCTCTTATTCTAAAATTGTTTTGCTTTATAAAATTAATCAAATACTCAATACTTATGGATTCTGTCCAATATTAGCACCTGAGGAGAGGGTCAAAGTCAGAAAGAGCAGGACAAGATGCCAGTCAGTAAGCAGTAAAGAACTTCACTGCAGGGATAAAGCCACAGAAGACAGGAAACACACAAGATTAAGATGAAGGATAGAGCTGGTATGTACTACAGAAGCTCAGAATCAGGGAGAAAATATCAGATAAAGGCTTTCCTTTCTTCCATCAAGAAGGAATGATTTTCAAAATTGTTTTCCTTCTGCCACTGGCAAATATTTGGCAAGTCTACCTGTGCTTTTTCCTCATCTTAGGAAACAGTTTTTATATGCTCAAAATCCTCTGCCACAGCAAACCCATAAACCTGTGACCAGAGTTGGACCAACCAAGGCATGAAGCCTGAACTCTCACTCAGCTAAGAGTTTTCTAGTGGTGTGCTTCCGCTTTGCCTTCCCTAATGTTACACAGATACACAAGTACACACACAGACAAGGGTACATGTCACACAAAATGGGATAAAAATCAAACAACCTTCTACACTTATAAAAGAAGAGAAAAAGAAGACAGAAAAACAGTTGCGGCAATTCTGAGTCCAGCTGTGAGAAGTGTCAAATGCTAGTGTGCTTCTAAAATTAGAAAAAATAAAAAAGATACAGAATTTCTTTTAGAAGGAGATAGAAACATTCTACGTTACTGAATATACTGAAAAAATACTGATCATACAGTTTAATGGTTAAATTATATGGCTTCCGAATTACATCTGAATAAACTTGTTTTAAAAATCAGTAAAGGATATTGGAAGACTTGAAAATTGTTCCTCTTCACCTTGAAGATAGGCCACTAACATCAATATGTATGTGTCCATAGACAGCTGTAGCAAGACCATGAAGTAATAAAAACATTATCTTGGTGTCCTCTGGGCTTTCCCAGTACAGGTAGCTTAACTTTCACTTTGCCGCTGCAAATACTGAAGAAGGCTTGTTTCAGGGTCCTCCTGAGGATAGGAAGCCTTCCAGTTAGGTCAGCAGTGGGTCCCATCCTTCAGTAATGTCACAAAGACTGAGGAGTTTTAGGAAACACAGGTGCTAGAGAGCAGTGGCTTAGATTTTGTTTGAATGACATGGGACCTGAGCATCTATATATTTTCCCAGAATTCCGCAGCTAATTCTAATATGCAGCCAGAATTGGGAACCACTGGTTTTAAGAGATGATCTGTGGGCACCATGACAGGAAGTGGAAGTTTCTGCTCCTCAAACCACTCCACTGAGTCGGTAACCATGGGAAGGTTTCCAGGGACAGGCAGGCTGGGGCAGCTCCAGGCTCACTGTGGGTAAACTGATCTCTCAATGAAGGAGCACAATGCCCTGAGTTCACATCAGCATTGCCTGTCCAATTCTGAGCCTTGCCCCACTAGTGGAGCATCATATCTTATATCTGCATGATAGTCTCTATTTTCTTAGTAGAGCAAATAAATAAGTACTTTATTGTATATGCTCTTGCCGACT